AAATTAACTCCTACAAAAAAGTCACATATTCCTTTTCATTCACAAGGCCTATTTAAAAAATAATTTTTTGACTCATTGACTATATCGAGTCACCTCACCTCTTTATTTTTTTAAATATTTTTTTAAAAAAAAATTTAAAAAATTAACTTTTAACTTACTTCTCATATATTGTTTTAATATATTATCTTATTTGGATCCCAATCATTCTATTTAGATCAAATTACACTCTACTACATGACTTCAATTCTAACCAACATTTCACATTTTTTCGTAAAAAAAATAATAATAAAAAAATATTAATCTAACACTTCCCAAACAACCCTAATTTTTTGTATGGTTTTTTTAGTAATAGTCAAAAAATTCTTCCTGACATCTTTTTTTTTTTTTTCACTTCATATTTTACTCAAAAAACTAAAAAGCCATTTCCCAACCAAATTCTTAATTTTTGGATAAATTATATTTGTAGTTCTTAAAGTATGTGTATCGTGTTCAATTTTGAATTTGGTAAATTTTGTTCTTAAAAATTATAATTTGAGTCAATTTGTTCAATTTCAAATGCACCGTAAATAAAATACATATTATCCATAAAATATGTGTTTTATATCACTTTAATCCTTAAAGTTTTAACTTTATCAATTTACTTTTGAAACATTAATAAAATAAAACATAGTAGGTTAAATCACAAATACAATCTATCTACGTCTCAAACCTGCTATAAAGTACAAATAAATGTAGTTTACTGTAGGTTTGATAATTCCAAACAAATATTGCTCGAATTTTTTAGAGTGCCATACTTTTCAACTTGGTACAGACTTAAGTCGGGGTTTAGAAGCTCAAGTAGAATTTAGGTACAACACATAAATTATATTTATAAATATATTAAAATTTTATTTTCATGAGATATTTCACTGAATTAATAAAAAATAAAAAGAGGTTTGAAGCATATCTCATATGGTAAGCCTAGATTTCACACATTGATAGAAAGTTAGAAATATATAGATGTTAATTCCTGTTTTCTACCTCAGTAGGAATTTTTAGTGCTTTGTTATGACATACGCCATTACCTACATGACATTTAGCCATAGCAATTTCACTGGAAGTATCACGGCCCAAACCTGTCCCTAAAAGTTTGGACATGACCGACTTGTATTTAGGCTTCAAAACAAAATAGTCAACAAATAATTTATACAAGTATAATGACAAAATGAAACGTCCATTGAGCGGTGTCTAAATGCGAGGATCTTAGTACACACATCATATACATCCACATCTACATATACAGTTCATAAAACCACAAGTCCACGACATGCCAATCTAAACAAAAAGGTAATGATCTATAATTTTCATATTAGCAATATATCTATATCATTAGCAAAATGGAATATACAAGGGAAATTTGGCTATAAACCCCCTTTACCTTCCTTTCATTGTTAAAAGGATTAAGAAAAAAATTATACTTTCTAAACCCCCTCATAATTATAAAGTCTTGCATAAAGGACAAAATTTATTATTTAAATATTTTATTAGACTATTATACCCTTAACTAAATTGTCCCACCTTCTCCACCCACTCTCTCCCCACCTTCTCTGTCTCTCTTATTCCTCTCTCCCTTCTCTAACTCCTTCAAGCTTCAGATCTAGAAGCTCAGCTATCGCCTCTGGAACTCCTACGTCGACCTCGCCAATGCCGCCGGCGTTCGATCCTCTTCCGCCGCTCCCTCCAACGAACACGCCAGGTCTCCGCTGATTTGCTCTTCCTATGTATATGTGTATGTATATATTTATATATATGTGTATACGGCGGAGGAGTTTGGAGTGGAGGCGATGCCGACGTTCGTGTTGCTGAAGCAAGGGAAGGAGGTCGATAGATTCGTCAGGGCCAAGAAGGATGAGCTGGAGAAGAAGGTTGAGATGTACACTGAAACCAGAATTTGCTGCTTCGTCTGTTAAGTACTGTATCGGTAGGCAAAAGCCAATATATTCTCAGCAAGTCCAAGGCATGATATCAAACAACATGACTGCAAACAGTTGTTATAGCTGTTTGAACAAGTGAACACTTAAGTTTCTCAATCTCAAGTATTCTTCAACTTTTTATTAAATAAATCAGAATGCTTGCGCTTAAAAGATTGACCAGTGCACAACAGTCGAGGTTTCAATTTTATTCTTCCATATATTTAGCTAAACATATGAGAATATTATGATGAGATGTAGTAATTAAGGCTAACAAGTAAAGCACCAGATATTTTTTTTAAACACAGATATGAGTTTTGAATATATATATGTGTGTATAAGTGTTGTTGAAAACATGTATTCTTTGAAATCAAAAGATAGAGAGATATTTGGATGTGTTCTTTGAAATAGTCACCTCAATTAGATTATGATTATGTTGATATTTGGATGTTTTTGTTTAGTTTTTGATATGTGTGTTTCGTGGTTATATAACCTTGTAATATAGATTTGTGTTTTTACTAGTTTTTGAATTGATCTGTTCATACTCAGCTTGTTCAATGGATGATCGATCTATTAAAATGGATGATCTATTCAATTTCTCTCTCTTTCTCTTTCTCTGATAAGAATCTCTCTAATAAAAATTTCACACAAAAATTTTACTAATCAGAGTAAAATTTACTCTGAATCAGAGTAAAATTTTACTCTGGTTAAAAAATATTGATTTGCGTAAAAATATGAATTTTTACTTTGAATCATAGTAAACTTTACTCTGATTCAGAGTAAAGTTTACTATGATTCAAAGTAAAACTTTACTCTGAAATTTTACTTTGGTTAAAAAACATGTTGATTTTCTCAGCAACCAAACTATATTTGATTTTTTTGTTATGTTTATGTGATTTTCTCAACAACCAAACACACATTTTACTTTTATACAGAGTAAAATTTTACTTTCATACAGAGTAAAATTTTACTTTTATACAGAGTAAAATTTTACTCTGAAATATATAGTGAAGATGACTTAATAGGAGAGCTGATAGATATGAGGGTAATATAGTAAAAGAAACAAGTTTTAAAATATTAGAGGGTTTTGAAAGTACTTATATAATTCTTGTCATTTTGAAAGACAAATTAGATAGTGAGGGGGCTATCACCAAATCCCTCTTGTTTTAATGCCACTTACGATTTTGTCAAAAAATATTAGTAGGACTGAATTTTAAAAAAATATACTAATCTAATTGTGTATACATATTAGCTTAAGCCTAAGCCTAAGCCTAAGTGAAATTTAATTTGTTGAATTCGAACTAAGCTTGAGCTAACAAACTCAAGTTAGAGGTTGAGTTTGGACAACTCTCAACACAATTCAGAGTAAGTTTAAGAAACTCATTAGCATGATCAAACTCATCTCACCCCTAATAAAATCCATGTAACATGGGAAAAATGCACGAAAATAGGAGAGGGTAACATCTTTAAAATTGAGAAGTAACTTTTAGAAATTACAAAATCAGAATTGCCTACAAAAATATGCACACCTACTCTCTAAGCTCCCAAGTCTCCTCTTTATTTTGTACAAATTTATGTACATTAATTCTATACAAATAGCAAAGTTTTTCAAAGATAAAATTGTGCTATATATTTTAAAAAATATTTAAAATTTAAAATGTGTAAAACAATTTTCACATTATTTTTGTTGAATACATGGCATTTATGATTTCTTTAACATGAAAAAAAGATGCTTTGTAATGTCATCATCATATCTATGGATCCTAATGTAAGAATAAGTGGTTGTCGACCAAATTTAATTTAACCCATAAACCAGATCCACCACCAAAGTATTAATAAAATTCAATCACATGCGACTAACATTAATGATTTGTTCAAATATTTCTTGAACATCCACAATGCTAGAAAGCATAGAACATTACGGCCTAGTTTGGAAAGATTGAAAAAAGACAAAAAGTCAAAAAGTCACTATCTTATTTAAGTCACATCATCTTATTTAAGTCACATCACCTCTCTAACACATCACTTCAAACCCAACCCAAACCCAACTCATATTTCATAAAAAGTCAAAAAGTGCACTTATTTAGTCTTCCCAAACTAGGCCTACATCACATATTTCGCAACAAATGTCTGAAGGGCATTTTTGTCATTCAACAATTATGGGCATTTTGGGGCATGATGTTTTTTGGGTGGGTAAGTACAAATCCAAGTATTGGGGCATGATGTTTACCTTTCCCTAATTGCATCACGTGATTCTCTTGCACAATTAGGTGGTGTGTAGTAGATCTTTTTGGGTACTTTTTCCATTGCTGGACCGTTTCTCGCTCAAATCATATTTCATTTCTTCCCTTACTTTTCACTGTTCAGATATTTCAATGCATATATCCACACCACAACGCTAGAAAGCATAGAACATCATATCTAAAGGGCATTTTGGTCATTTAAAAATTATTTAGAATAATTTAAAAATATATATTTTTTGATTTTTTATAAAAAGATATATAAAAAAAAACAGAATATATAACTCAAAAAAATAAAAAAATATATTTATATAATACACCCTAAACCAAGACCTCAATAACCATGGGCATTTTGGGGCATGATGTTTACCTTTCCCTAATTGCATCACGTGATTCTTTTGCACAATTAGGTGGTGTAGTAGATCCTTTTGGATACTTTTCCGTTGCTTGACTACACTTTTTCCATTGCTTGACTGTGTCTCGCTCAAATCATATTTCATTTCTTCCCTTACTTTTCACATTTAAGTTTCATTTGGTCAGAGTTAAATTAACTAAATAAATATAAAAAATAAATTAAATAGACAAAGTATCATATTTAAGTAAAAAAAATTAAAAATAATCAAAAAACCAGACAGTGTCAGTGACTTATGTTATTATTAATTCCGTATTTGTCTCCCACGATCTGTTTAGACAAACAACTTCATCTTCTTCTTCTTCTTCTTCTTCTTCTTCTAATTTGCTTAACCACGAATTAAATCTCTTGTTCTTACCCTAATAAACTCTGCAACCAAGATTTTCCTTTCTTTTTCATTTTCTATTTCTTTTTCTTTTTGTTGTATTTTTATTCTCAAACCTCAAAAGGGTTTATGGTTCTTCACGAATCACGATATATATATAGGAGAAAAGAAAAAAAGATATTTGTATCTTGTTGTAGCCAAACCCTCTAAACAATCTTCTCCCCATACCTTATCTCTCCCTGCCTATCTTTTCTCTCTCATGTTCTCCTCTTAAAGTCCCAATCTTTGGGTTTCTTGAAGGCAAGCTAGAGAGATAGAGAGAGGGAGACAGACATGGAAGCTGTTCTACAAACGAAAGGGCTTCTCTCTCTACCTTCAAATCCCAAGACAAGGGCTTTCCATCTGTCACCGCAGAGGCTGAGGCATAGACTCAACCCCTTAAAGCCCAAATCTCTTGATGGGTTCTCTCTATCTCTCAATGGGTTCTCAAAATTTCAAGGGTTTGTATCAAAACCTCAAGGGGTTTTTCAGCAAAATAGAAGATTTCACATTTGCAGAGCTGAGGCAGCAGCAGCAGCAGCTGATGGGCAGCCTCTATTTGCAGAATCAGAACCACCCAAATTTATGGGTATTGAAATTGTCACTCTCAAGAAAATTATACCTCTTGGGTTGATGTTCTTTTGCATACTCTTCAACTACACAATCCTTAGGGACACCAAAGATGTGTTGGTTGTGACAGCTAAAGGGTCTAGTGCTGAGATTATACCATTCTTGAAAACTTGGGTTAATTTGCCCATGGCTATTGGGTTTATGCTTTTGTACACAAAATTGGCTAATGTGTTGTCAAAGCAAGCTCTGTTCTACACAGTCATAGTCCCTTTCATTGCCTTTTTTGGGGCTTTTGGGTTTGTTCTCTATCCTCTCAGCCATTATTTCCACCCTACAGCTCTTGCTGATAAGCTTCTAGCCACTCTTGGACCGCGGTTTCTAGGCCCACTTGCGATTATAAGGATCTGGAGTTTCTGTCTGTTCTATGTCATGGCTGAGCTCTGGGGTAGTGTGGTGATTTCAGTGCTGTTTTGGGGGTTGGCCAATCAGGTGAAAATCCAATCTGTGTTCTGAATTTACGTTTCTGCTTCATTATTTAATAAGTTTTGTTTTGGGTTTCTAATTTGATTTTTCTGTTAGATGTGTTTGTTATTTTGATTCTTCATTTTTTATCTTGACTTAGGAGATTCTAATGAGTGGTTTATTTATTTATTTATTCTTAAGAATTCAGTCACATCAACGTGTCTGCAACAGTATAAAGTTGGATTTGCCCTTGGTGGACTATAATCTTAAATAAAAATAATCTGTTTGGTTGGGTTGTGAAATTCTATGCTGAAATTCATAAAAGAGTAGTCTGTTGTGCATCTATATTGAATGGTTTATTTTGGTTTTATTCTCTTATGTTTGGATTGTGATTTGCTCGTCTATAACTTACCATATGATATGATATGTTGGCAATATTGGCTGTTTCTCTGATTGATTCCCATGTTACTTTGATTGGCTTGATGTTAATATGCTTTCTTTAGAACTGATTCCGTTTCTTTTTTAAATTTTATCTGGCTTCATTTACTTATTTGGTTTCAGTGGAGCAGTTAAAACAGTTGGTTGTATTTTTTGCTTTAGTATATTCTGTGCTTCGATTGAGATACCGCTTATTAACGACTAATTTCATTAATCCTATATATATGAACTGTCCTGTAAATGATAGATTCTTTCTTATTGTTAATTCCATACACTCGTGTTGGTTGTCTTTAGTTCCATCATTCTGTTTTTACATATTTTTCGCAAAATCAGTGGAACCTTCTTTTTGCATGCTGATGTGAAATGTGATTGGCAGCCTAATTAATTTAATGTGTGAAAATTTGAAACTACCTATAATGCCAAATGTGCTATAGCTGATTACCCTATTATATTTAACCTGTATAAAAAATGAATCATTGATTGAGTAGTTCCGTTTCGTACCATGTATTGTTTTGTTTTTCTATTTGGTTTGTGTTAAAGGTGAATTCTAAGCTCACACTGTCTTATCTTTCCTTTCTGCTCCATTTTTGACAACACATGGATATGGAATATTGGAATAATTCTTTCTCACTTTCACGTGGATGTAAATAAGAAAGTGAATTGTAGTGGTTATACATTGTCCCCGTCATATTATCTATACATATATGTTGAATAAACGGATGTAGTGCTTTTACTCTATACCGTAGACATGTTTACCATGCGTCATCTGGTATCACCTTGGTCACCACTGCATCAGGCTAAGTATCATTAGCGGCACGTCTTACTTAGGTCATTTATTGGAAAATGTGCCTTTTCCACTTGTGTCACCACAAAGGTTATTTGTTAAGCTTGGCCATGTAGCACATGACATATCCTAAGAGCATCATCTCCAATGGGATGACTAAAATTGTGTGTTAAAGTGTGCGCTAACTGATGAAAAGTGATAAAAGTGGGGCCCGATTTTGTGTGTTAAGTGTTTGTTAATTTAGAAAGTGAATGGGTGCTCTAATGGTGTTGTTAAAATGCGTAAGTGGATATAAAAATTAGAAAAAACAAAAAACAAAAGCTGTCTCTCTTCACTTTTATCACAAAAAGCAGTCGCACAACCCTCACTGTCACTCCTCCTAACACTTGGTAAGGAGGCTCTCTCGCCTCTCCCCCACTCCTCACTTTGTCTCTGTTCCCCTCTCTCTGTCTCTCTCCTCCCTTTGCTGAGAGGCTCTCTACAGTAAGCAAGCAATTTAACTTGTGGCACTAACACCCAAGTTAACACACCCATTAGATGGGAAAAAATACATAAAGTTTACTTAACTGTTTTGTGTAAGGTAATATATGCCACTAGTAATGGGTTTGGAGAGCTCATCGGAGATGCTCTAATAGATGCATTGCTATACGAAATCACTTCAATTCCCTTTTCTTACAAAGAGATGGGTGGAGGAGTCATTTAGCTCATTACGGGAATTGTGCCTCTTACATTTCTCTTTGAAGTGCCTAAGCTTGTCTCAAGGATGGTGAAAAGAGGACACCTTGCTGTAATTGCTAGTTTTGCCTGCTTGCATCACGTTGGGCAGATTATGGCCACAAAATTGTGGCTTAGATGCCCATTGCATCCAGGTGCATGAATGATCATATGAAAATGCCATATTTTTGGTCATCTAAGAAACAGTATTCTGTTTTATTCTTTTATTCTTTTAACGAAATTATGTTATATGAATGTTGATTGACATATGTTAGACTGGCCACTATTCAGAGATAATTTTACATAGAAGACCAATTAATGAACTTTGATAGTGTAATGGAGACTAAATCCATGAGAGGGAATTACATAGAATGCTTGAATCATGTATCAATGTTTTCAAAAAATAGCAGTGGGTATTAATGTCAATATGTACTTGGTGTTGTAATTTTGAAACTGAGACCATGTTGAATGTTGGATTATGGTATTCTTGTTTGGACTACTAGAAAAGCAACCACTTTTGGTCTACTTCCGGGAAAAACATTAAAAAAAAAAAAAAAAAATCTAGTTAGGTATGGCTATTTCCTTTTCCCTTTTTTTCTTTCTTAAGTTTGTTCGGATGTACACAGAAACTTAAGTGAAGACAATGAATATGAATATGCTTACAAGTTGTTGAATCATAGTCAGAATATCAGACATCGTTATTATCATCATCATGAAAATTAAGTTGTGTGAACAGAAAGGCTATCTTCCTTTAGTAGCCAGAGTGAAATCATTGTTTCCCCCTGTACTTTTAGGTCTTATGGATTTGAAAGCTTTGTTTCACTTTGTTGAATATCTGTATTCTTTTTCTTTTCTTTTTTTATTGTCAAGGGCTCACCCATAGTTTGGTTTGATAGCACGATTTGATTGCCAGGAAAGTCATGACAAGAAATGAACTGTAATATGGAAGTCTAGGAGTTTGGATTGTAATATGAAAATTTCATTTTTCTTCCACTTTTCTTGCAATTAATGTAGCACAGGTGTTATGTAGTGAAGATATTTGTAGATAATAAAATTTAGATGCAATTCTAGATGCTTCAGGTGACCCTTGAATGCCTATCTCGATGCTTTTACAAGTCCATGTATCTTCAACGGTTACGTTACAAGGAAATAGGATTGTGGTGTTATTGATGTTGAATATGTTAGAGGTTGTAAGCAAGACATAGAGTTGTAGTGTACACAGTTTCTAATAGTGGTACAATGTCTGAAATGTAGAGCTCCAATGTTTATAATGTCGTATAACTGTGGACATGAACATTGTTGTTAGAGTCTGATGAGTTTGCGGTATCTAATATTTGCTTTGGTTCTGGTATTCTCAATTATAAAGCATTATGCAGCATCATGGGAACTAGTTTTTGTTTTATCAAAATTTGGACATTATTTGTTTAATTCGTGTACATAGTAAACATTTATGGTGTTGTTAACAAGTAGCCTAAGGCTTTGTTTGGATCACGGATTAGATTTGAGTAGGGATTTGGAAAGGGAAAGAAAAACGCAAGGGAAATGGAGTATTTTAAAATGGTCCAAATCCTTTCCCAAATCCATGATCCAAACGCAACCTAAGGGCATTTCTTAACGAATTTTAAAATGGTCCAACATTTACTATGCCTTTCTTTCTTTTCTACATCCCAGATTCCTCCTACGTAACAGATATAATATATTTGAATTGGAAAGCTTAGATTTTGTGAGAAATTTTTAGTAGATATAGGTAGGTTAAAGGATAGAGTTATTGCATTATCTGTCATAATGGTTTTGTTGTCCACATGATATATAGTGACTCGAGCACATGTGAATCTTTTTGGATGGAGTCAATTGACTTGGCTGGTGCTGCAATTAACTCTTATGTGCCTCTTTTGCAGATTACTACGGTTGACGAAGCCAAAAGATTCTATCCTCTTTTTGGACTCGGAGCCAATGTTGCCCTTATTTTCTCAGGTCGAACGGTGAAGTACTTCTCTAATTTGAGAAAAAATTTGGGTCCTGGAGTTGATGGTTGGGCCGTCTCCTTGAAAGGAATGATGAGCATTGTGGTGGTGATGGGATTTGCAATCTGTTTTCTTTATTGGTGGGTGAATAATTACGTTCCTCTTCCAACCAGAAGTAAGAAGAAGAAGGTAATCATCTTCACAGATGCTGTCTCTCTAGACATCATATTTCAGCTATCCTTTAGAAAATTTTTGTGTCTACCCCATTGTTTTTGGTTGAAAATGGCATTCCATCTTCATGTAGGTACTGGGAAACGAGGTTTTAAATATCGGCTGTTACGCATCGTATCAGCCGATATGTATTGGTGTTTTGGACTTCTGATACTGTTATTTACCTATGTCAGTCCGATATATGATCATATCACATTTAAAACCATGCTGGTAAACTAAAATTGTCATGTCATTGCATAATGCATTGCTACTTTTTATATGAAAGGATAACGAGCTTATTAATTTTCTGTCATTTATGGATTGCACTGCTTTCAAATCTCGTCTTTCCAGTGCTAAAATGAAAAAAATTAAAACTGTAATGTGCAGATGCTTAATGGCTTCATTGTTGTTAGGAAATTTATTAGCTTTGTTAATAGTTTCCATGACATAACATTAATCCCTTGGCAGGAGAAACCGAAAATGGGGACAATGGAGAGTTTGAAGTTCTTGGTGTCTTCAAGCTACATTAGGGATCTTGCCACTTTGGTGGTTGCGTACGGTATTAGTATCAATCTTGTTGAGGTCACATGGAAATCAAAGCTCAAAGCTCAGGTAAACTAAATCGAACTAATAAATTTCTTTGCATCCTAATTTGCTTATGAATTTTTATTTACTCTGTCTCTGTCTCTCTCTGACTTGCTTGCTCGCTCTAAATCGTGCAGTTTCCAAGCCCAAATGAATACTCGTCCTTCATGGGTGACTTTTCAACTTCGACTGGTATAGCGACTTTCACAATGATGCTGCTAAGCCAATGGATATTTGACAAATATGGATGGGGAGTTGCGGCCAAGATCACACCCACAGTCTTGCTTCTCACAGGAGTTGGCTTCTTTTCTCTAATTTTGTTTGGTGATCCTCTTGCACCCGGTCTTGCGAAATTCGGAATGACTCCACTTCTAGCAGCTGTATATGTGGGTGCAATGCAGAATATTTTCAGCAAGAGCGCCAAGTACAGCTTGTTTGATCCTTGCAAAGAAATGGCCTATATTCCTTTAGATGAGGAAACCAAGGTTCGATGCTTTACTAGTACTACTCAAGGTTTTTCAATCTCTGTCATATTAAAATGAGTTGGAAATCTGACTCTTGTTTTTTTGGTACAACGGAAAATAAAAGTCAACAGAAAACGTTTACCGTGGGCAAACAGAAAACAAACTTATTTGGACAAAATATTTGCTATTTTTGAAAGGTGAAAAACATTTTCCGAACTAAAGTCTTACACCACCACCTCACCTCCACCACCACCACCCCACCCTACCATTCACCACCACTACTATAACTACTAGTTTATGGTTTCAAGGTTTCAATGAAACACAGTAAAACATTTTCTACTGAAAACATTCTCTAGAAAAAAGTTTTCTGTAGAAATGATTTTCCTTTGGAAAATGTTTTCCGCCCAAACAATCAGAGAAAGTTGAATTGCCTGAAATAATTAATACAGGCTGAACGTACAACTCCCAAAATTGCTTCAGTGCAAAACATATATTTCCAAGATCTCACTAGATCATAAAACCTAGACATCAATTTACTTAAATTTTCCTTCAGAGCTTCTCTTTTAAACTTAGTCCACTGTTCTTTTCACATTAGGTTAAAGGAAAGGCTGCCATTGATGTTGTCTGCAACCCGCTAGGGAAGTCCGGAGGTGCTCTGATCCAACAGTTTATGATCTTAACTTTCGGGTCACTCGCAAACTCAACCCCTTACCTTGGAGGCATACTTTTGGTGATTGTTCTTGCGTGGTTAGCGGCTGCCAGGTCTTTGGATACCCAATTCACTGCATTGCGTCGCGAGGAAGAGATTGAGAAGGAGATGGAAAGAGCAGCTGTGAAAATCCCGGTTGTGGCTGATGAAAAAGAAAGCGGGAATGCCTCTCTTGTGAGTGGTCCAGCACTGAATCCATCAGGAGGTGACCCCCCAAGCACTTCATCCGAAAGCTCATCAACCCTTCGCAATTTATGAAAAAATTTAAATTCATTTGTTACAAAACGGCAGTAACCGATAAGATGAGAAGGTACCGTTAAATGCTTTGTTGGTCGTAGGATTTTGCTTTATAGAAATAATTAGAACTTGTTGGTTTGTATGATTTTGCTTTCGTTGTAAAAAATAATCAGAACCAACATCAGTTGATATTGTTCATTTTAAGTTCGCCCTAGTTGAATTGTAGACTGTATTGGTAATATATTATGCTTGTCTGGTAGTAGTGTGTATGAGAGGGTTCAAGAACGTTGTTAGAAAATTCAAAGATTTTCGAAGATTTTTAAAGAAAATTTGAATTCTTTAGAAATGTTGAAAGGCTTAGATTCTTCAATAGTCACAACTAAGAACACAAAAGTAGAGAGATGATGGAGATAAAGGATTGGCTAAAGAAGAAGGCAAAGTAGTTAGAGAGAGAATAGTGACAAGGCTCTTCTATGGATCTCCTACTTTCACTCTCAAGATTGATAATGGAGAAGGGAAATTAGTTTTTTCTTAAGAGTTGTCTCTCCAAAATTCATCTCTTGTAAAGCTATGGGTATGTGCTATTTATAGGCACCTCATGATATAGGATGAAGCCCATGTGTAAGGCATATGAGGAATATTCTCGCTAACCACCTTATTCGAGGAGGTGACCTTTCTGAGGATGAGGAAAACCCCGAAGAGGAGATCAACCTCTTAACGAATCTTTCTTCTTAGCCACACTTAACCAATGATCTCTAATCATCCCAAGGGATTAGGGATAGTCCCAGACGACACCCTGCTGTAGAAGGGTCAAGGGTAGTTGAAGAAAACGTCCTGCCGCAAATATTGCTGAGTCTCAAGGACTCCCTAAATCGTGCCACCTCGACCCGGGTATAAGCTAGTTTAACCGAAGATTGAATTTATCTCTACTCACCGTCCTCGGGATCGAGTCCTTTGTTCGAATTCCATTACGCCCATGGTTCTGGTGCGTAGATCCCGGAAAGCTTCGAGTCTACAAGTGTTCTGGGACTCATTAATGGAACGGCTTTTAGATTGCATTCGAATCCGTTTAAAGCCAAGCGCTTCGAATCTCTAGGTTCGTGGATCCAAATCCTTTCGAGCCCGAGCTCAAATAGGTCTCTAGGTTCGTGGTTCCGATCCCTTTCAAGACTAAGCAAATACCTCGAAGAATAGATCTCCTCCAAAGGTTTCATTTCTTCTGAAAGCAACATTTGACCTTCTCGGAAGCCCGTATGATTTGGGCCTCCTCGGATGGGCTTGTTGGACTCTCTTTAGAGAAATCTACTTGATGGGTCTTTCTCGGCCCAATTTGTTGGCTTTCTCGTGGGCCTGTTTAATGAGTTTCACTTCGGTTTATTTGGCAATAATTTATCAGGACCCATTAATTTTGGGCTTTTCGATTGGGTTCCGATTGGATCCAATTAATTTAATGGGCTCAAGTTAACTCCTCTTATATAGTGATGGATTAATAGTAAGGTAAGAGCTTTTATTTTGCTTTATTTATTTGATTATTAAACACATAACAGACATTGAAATTACTTTTCCAATTCCATCTCGCCTTGATCAATTAATAATTTTGATTGAATCATATGATTTGGCCTTTGATTGTCTCTATATTTTCTGACCAAACATTTCTTGAAGTTTTGGTCTGTTATTTTGTGAATGACCTAGGAACTCCAGTTTACAGGGAAGAAAAGGTCTGCACAAGATAATGTTTTAGGGGTAATGCTAGGGACACCAAATTTTTTACCAAATAAATGATCAAATGTCTCACATGGATGTGGGGTCCGCAATTTTGTAGACCCCACACCCATGTGATTTGCGGACCCTACAGCCATGTGAGACATTTGGTCATTTATGTGATAGAAAATTTGAGACCTCTAGCATTTTCTATTTTCTAGTTATTCCCTGTGTGTTCATGTGTATGTATGTGTTAATGAGCCTAATCACAACTGAGTTGGGTTATTAACACATGCATTCACTTGAAAAGCGAGCTCAAAACAATGGGGCAGGTTGAGTTCATTAGGTTAATGAATTCCATAAGTCTGCACATAGGATTAACTATGCACCAGCACAGAATGAGATATATAATATGTTTTACAAGGAGTGGAGTTTACATGATATGAAATTCATATGTGAAACTCACCCTTTGTTAGATGTCTGTGTCTCATTTTATTCTCATTTTATATTTAATTTCTGTGTTCCTAATATTATTGTAATGAATTAGTTGTAACTTTGTGAATATTGGGTTCTATTAAAACTTAGTCCCTCGGGAGAAAATGAATTTGTATAGACATTTGGGTGGGATCAAAGCTCAAATCAATATTAAGACTCCATTAGAGATGGCAAGGTGAAGACGTTGGCCATGCGTTAAGCTCTTGAATTTGTAAAGTGATTTGTGGAACAGAAAGTAAAGAATGGTGAAGTGTTACTTTTCAATTTATTTTTTATTTTTATTTTTGACTTTTTTTTCCCATTAATACTATATTTGGATATTGAATTTTGTGTGAGGTAATGTTACATGATTACATTGCTCAACTGACTTAGGAAGAAGGCGGCTGAGCAGGATATATAGTCGGATGTCCAATCAATTATTTGGCCAAGCATAATGTTCAGATTGGCGTGACTTGAGCAAAGAGTAGATTGCCTCAGGGAAGCGAAGGCGGAAAAATAAATGTATTTGAATTATTTTGAATGAAAAATCTTCGTCCTTATACGCGAGCTATTTTGGCTATTTTGGTATCAGAAAATATTTTATGACTACTTTGGCTACTTATTTGGAATAGCTATTGTAGTGAAGTTGCAATTAATGGATAATTGCTTTCTCTCTTTCAAAAGTCACCGGACAAATGACATGATCCTATCTAGGGCGAAGCAATATGGGCAGATGGTTGCATAATACTTTCAACGGTAAAGTCAAAACTATAAACGATCATCTCAAGGTATAAAATTATTGGGTATTGACTTGCACTATACTGAGAGCACAACCTGCAAAACTTATTTAAGCATTGAAATACCCCCAGCTAAATACCCAGTAAGCGATGACTCACTGTTTGCGGTTGCTCATTAAAGAGCAATAAGAGTTTGTCGGTGTTAGCACACAACCCGTATTCATCTGTTCATTCTAATTTGATAGATTTTTTCACACAAATTTTGAAGAAAAAAATTATAAAAATAAAATAGTTTTATTACGTTTTCTTTTTCTTTCATAAATTCCAGATTCAAACACAGAGTCTTTGAATACAATAATAGTTTATTTTTTTAATTTTATTTTATTAAAAAATCACAATAGTTGTGCTAATTGATCTTTTGTCTTTTTTGATGAGTTCATGCTTCGTTTGTTTGCGTAAAAAATATTTTCTGTATGTTTTTGATATTTGATATAATGGAAAACAAAAGTCAATAGAAAAAGTTTTTCATGATCAATAGAAGACAAGCCTACATGAGTAGAAAATGTTTTTCACTTTAAGAACAACGAAGGGATGTTAGAAAAATCAAGGAGTTGTCCTAGTCTTTAGGAAGTTTGTTTACTGCTGTTCCTAGTTAGTTGCTGTACATGGCCTACTTTGGCTTAGTTTTAGGAGAAAGTTGAGCCTGCTATGCAGTCACTGCAGTTCCTAATTTCATGCTTTAGTAGTTCCTGTTTTTCCTGCTACTATCAGTTTGTTTACTTGCCTATATAATGGCTGTTTGGTTTATCAATAAAAGCAGCAGATTAATATACTCTTTCTAGCTCTTATTGTGCATAAAAGTATATCTCTTCTTTATTGTGTAACAGTGGTATCAGAGCCTCCGAGTGAAAAAGTGAGATAGAGAGTGATATAGCAGCAGTTCTATTTCTCTATCACCTTTTTTCTTTTGCAGTAGCAGACAAGATCGATGGCTTCAGAAAATTTTGTGCAACCATCCATTCCTCGCTTTGATGGTCACTATGATCATTGGAGCATGCTAATTGAGAACTTCTTGCGATCCAAAGAATACTGGCCGGTGGTTGTTTCTGGAATACCAGAACCAGCTAAAGGTGTTGTGTTGACAGATGCACAGAAGTCGGAGCTTGAAGCACTGAAGCTGAAAGATCTCAAGGCAAAGAATTATCTTTTCCAAGCTATTGATCGCTCCATCTTGGAAACGATTCTTTGCAAGGATACCTCCAAGCATATTTGGGATTCCATGAAGAAAAAGTATCAAGGGACAACAAGAGCGAAGAGGCAGCAGCTTCAAGCATTTCGTTCGAAGTTTGAAATGCTTCGAATGAAAGTAGGAGAGTCGGTGACAGATTATTTTGCAAGAACGATGGCAATCGTCAACAAGATGCGGATCTATGGAGACAAGGCAGAGGATGTCACCATTGTTGAGAAGATTCTTCGATCCATGACACCAAAATTTAATTTTGTTGTCTGTTCTATAGAAGAATCTAATGATGTTGATGAACTTTCAATTGATGAATTGCAAAGCTCTTTGTTGGTTCATGAGCAAAAAATTAACCAACAGGAGAAAGAGGAACAAGCATTGAAGGTCTCATCTGAAAATCACTCTACACCAAGTAGAGTTGATAGAGGACAAGGAAGAGGTAGAGGTCGCGGTAGAGGAGGCAGAGACAACAATGATCGTGGAAATCTGCAACAAAACCATCACCAAAAGAATCAATTTCAAGGAAGAGGAAGAGGACGTAGAGGCCATCAATCAACTAGACCAAAGTCAGCAGACAAGTCCAATGTTGAATGCTACAGATGTCATAGGTATGGCCATTATCAGTCGGATTGTCAAACTAATTTGAATAGACAAAGTGGAGAAAGAACTAACTTTGCAGAAAAGGAAGAAGAGGTGTCTCTTTTGATGGTGTGTCACGTGAAGGAGGAAACCCACAAGAATCTGTGGTACTTAGACACTGGTTGCAGCAACCATATGTGTGGAGAGAAGTTTGCATTCTCTGAGTTGGACGAAGCCTTTCGTGATGTTGTGAAGTTTGGTGATGATTCTAAAGTCTCTGTTATGGGAAAAGGAAAGGTAGCAATTCAAACCAACAAAAATTCTATTCAAACTATCTCTAATGTCCTTTTTGTTCCAGATTTGAGAACAAATTTACTCAGTGTTGGTCAACTTCAAGAAAAGGGATATGGAATCTCTATCAAAAACGGAGTCTGCAAAATTGTAGATGAAAAATTGGGCTTGGTGGCTCAAGTAAACATGACAGTCAACCGAATGTTTCCATTGTATCTC